AAATGAAATTGCTGGGCATAGTACACAAAAAAATGGTTTCTGCAGTAGAAGAAGTCGAGCAGCTCGAACAGAACGTTATATAAAACGTTTATCAAGGGATGAAGGTCACAAGTTCCCAGAAAACCTAAATAATATAGCAAATAAGCATAACAGTCATGATTTCATGAATGAAGAACAATCATCTGTAGCTGTGGATACAAATGAATTATTTCAGCTTCCACAACAATCACCACATTTTATCAATTATTCTAATAGCAATACCTTCCCTGTACAGAGATCTATTGAAAACTTACGACAATCTGGAATGGTTGCATCCAATTTGCAAGCAAGGTCGTCTACTGATGTTACAAATTATCCGACAGATCAATATATAACAGATTTGAACCAGAATAATACTTATGCAAAGCCAAATGTTTTGCACAAAAATAAGAACCACGTAAATCAGGAGAAAAATTATATTTTCAATTCACCCACGACTAATACAATTTATGCTGAACCATACGATTACACGGCAAATCGTCAGTTTGCAAGTCGAAGTTCCTCTCCGCCCGAGCCTCCACCAAGAAACCCACGTTGTCGAGTTTTCACTTATAGTTGTAATTCTTTTCCATTTAATGGGAAATATCGTGCGACAAAATACGACGATACTCTACATGCTAAAATGAACGATATTCACGAAGTTACCAAGGATCATTTAAAAAGTTTAAGGTCTTACGAATCGAATAACGAAATCAATCGGTGTGACTCGATAAAACAATACCCACGGCGTCCATTGTCTCTGACTGTAAGCTCGACGCAGACTTGTAATTTATCAGAATGTACGAACAATAGACACAATTCAACTGGTAGACACATAGATGAACCATTGTTTAAAGAAACGGAAGCAATGAAATGTCAGAGGAGGAACGATCGCAATGATCAACTTACTTCAAGCTTTAAAAATTATGATACCAAATTACGTGAAAATAGATTATCTACTACTTATATAAAAAATATGCGCAATAATTCTACGTCACCTACTTTTAAGTCTTTAAATTGTTCCTGCGCAAGATCACCAAGTAAACAGATTGTAAGAGAAGATTCTTATAATTTACCAAATGTTACATTCGTAGATAATATGAAAACTGAAGTAAAGGAAGAAAAACAAATAACTAGTGAACAAGACACGTTAGAAAGGAAAAGAAGTTCCAAGAATCTTGAAGAAGCTCTTTCTGAGCTAGAAGCAATATATAATAGCCTTCGTCTTGGAGACGAAGATCTCCTTGACCGGGCAGAACGACGGAGTATGGAAGAATTTAGCCTACGTCAAGCAAAAACTAATACTGTTGTTCCATTTATTTCAGAAGATTCAATAGATAGAATGAAAGATGATATGGCTTACAGAAGAATGCACCCAAAGGAGAGACCTACATCGTTGTCGGAAGTGGTCGGCCAATCTGCGCTCTCTAATATCAGCTACCTGATAGCCTCGCCTATTTTGTCACGCAAAGATACAACTGATGATTATCTGTATGGCACGAATTACCTAACACGTCGAGACGAACCGGACGTAACGCGAGATGATGTCGTTTATCGGAGCATTCATCACGCTAACAACACGTTAAAGGTGATTGATCCTCAACCTCCGTTTGGAATACCTCTAGGGCCGGTGACGGCCGCTACGGAAAGCGATTATTTACACACTACACCGATTAAGCCAGATCATCCACGTTCGTCATACATTCCGCAATGCGAGCCTGACATTGTTACGGATGACTTGGCTTACCGAGCTCTCAGGAAGGATGCCAATACGCCGAGGAGCAGCGTTGAAAGTAAATGCAGCATCACTACAGATCAGGAAACCACTTTTGGTTCGAAGAAGAAACGAGCGGTTAGATCTTTATCCGCCAATCTGTACGGTTTAATTAATCACGATACGATTCATCTTAGAAGAGAACCTAATCTTCAAGATATTAAGGACGAGATAAATAACACATTAATAGATATCAAATCGTTACCCGTACGATCCGATAGGCGTGTCGTGAGCGATGGTGAACTCTCCGATTACGATCGATGGCGTACTGATGGTTTATTGAGGAACTCTAAAACTGATATAAATGGCAATACTCCAATTACGAATGCGCATAGAAAGAAATTGCGTGTTTACGTTTCACCGTCGACTCGAATACAAGATGATAATAAAAATGAGGATAATGCGAGAGCACAGAATTCCGTGACATCTAATAACATGCTATCAAAGGCCTTGAACAATGAATTCTGGCAGAATTGCGAGCAGAGCAAATCAAATGAATCGTCCAATCATGATACGGAAACCGATTTCACGGCATACAGTCGTCTATGTCAAGATTTAGTCAATTTGATTGAAGGGCAAGATGATATGGAAGTGAAACTGACTGAGGAAATGAATGTTCCTTCAGAGCTTCCTGTAATAGCAGATGTCAATGATAGTAATAAAACGGAGGAATCTTCCATATTACATATACAGTCTTTAGGTAGTCATTATTCAGAAAATAATACGGAGAATCATAAAGAAGATACGGATAAAGAAAACATAGAGAAACTGACGGAGACCCTCGCTAATCCTGAGAACGAATGTTCTGAGAAGACTGACGATAATACATTCGACTTCTATCTTCGTGTCGCGGACGAAAATGTTAAACTAATTGCGGAGGCGTTCAGCAGCGTAGCAGATCACTTACGTGATAGTCGTTCAAGCCAAAAGAATTCGCTGACGTCGCACCGTTCTGAAATAGAAACCGATAGTACGACGCCCAATACTAGTACTCGTAACTCCGTTACTTGTAGTCTAGACGACACAAACGATGATGATCTGTCTAGTTCATCAAGGACCACTGATGCATTAAATGTAGTTCCTAAAGAAGATACAACGATAACCTTAAGTGATGATCACAACTTTGTGGAACCGGAAGAAACGAGAAATGATTTGCATACTAATCCAGAACTCGATCTTTCCAAAGCTGTTTATGATTTACAATTAGCAGCAGCAAGTTTATGCGAGCACGAGAAGGAAATAGAAAAACTAGAAGCTTTATTGAAAAAAGATGCAACAAATAACATTTCTTGTAGTAGTAACATCGAGGCTAAGGAGGATATTCCCTTGTTAAATATTGAGAATAATTTAATGGCGCTGAACGACAAAAATGAAAATAAGTGCGATACGGAAGAAACGATAACATCGACCGATGATAAACCTCGCACTGTTGATCGTGACCCAAATAGCGAAGGTGAGAGTACAAAATGCAAGAATACTTGTGAACATGTTATCCCTCGTTCGACTGAAATGCGTATTTCATATGTTACTAACCTCATAACCATACTGATAACTACATATTCTATGGTTTTGCTGGCTTGTTTTCTTGCACTGCTTTTAGCGACCGTAGCGGCATCATGACTGGACCCTTAACGACAAATGTCTTAATGCATTTTATAATTAGAAGGTTTGATTCGAAGCGTTTTTCATTATTTTGAGACTATTATTATTTGAATCATGTTACTAATGTCGTAGGTCTCCCGGCAAATGATCATTTATGATGTGAACCATTCTATACGAGTGCATAACTAACTGATATACAACGTCGTTGAGCGACATGCGGCAGGACGATTGAGTTTTGTGTAAGATCGAGTTTCTGTGAACTGTTTCTGAAGGAATGATTTGTTCTTGTTGTTCTTGTTAATGTTGTTGGTTTTAATAAAGTTTAAACGTTAACTATGCTGTTGACTTTATTGTACATGGTATATATCATATGTATTTCATTATGAAAATGAAAATCTGTAATATCATACAATTGGATTAAATGTATATGTTAAATTATGAAAACATTAAAACATGATCTCTTTCGTGGAAATTTTTGTTTAACATTATTTAACCTTACCGTTTTTCTTATGCATTGCAAAATCATGAAAAAGTATTCATCGAAGTACATATGATAACACATGAATTTAAATGTTAAAAAATTACAATAAAGACATAAAAATTCATTGATGTGCCTACATTGAAATAAAACATTTTAAAATGGTAAATTATAGATTTTGGCTATATGCAAATATTAGTTATTAATTACACTTGTATATAAATTCATCAAGTAATAAAACAATTGTCTTTCCTCTCTGAAATATATATTTGCCGACATTTTTGTTAACTACAGTAGAAATCAGTATAGTCGATAAAATCACTTCCTTGCCTCCATGGTAACACATCCATAGTGCTTTATCTCTTTTTGACGAAGAAGTCATAAATATCAGATATGATCTATTTTTATGACTAAAAGTGCGATTAGAATATATATTTTGGTAGTTCATTCAAGGTAGTTGACCCATTTTATCGAGGTGAAGAATACACGATCATACCGTAAGAGTTGTGTGGTGCATTGAAGCTGAACATTGATCGTATAGTACTAGAGTAACAGGCCAGGGTTAGAAGGGGTTTGCTAAAACGTCGAGTAGTTATCGATTGCGGACTACCATGACGTCATCGTGGATCACGCCACATCCCCGCCCATTGAAACTCTGCTTGTGATTGGTTCGGGTGTAGGCCGGCTATCTATATCGAAAAGCAAAACCGTCGCGGCTTGTGAGTCAAATCCTTGAGTCCTCACATGCGCATAAATTAATTTATGCGATGTGAATCCGTATTATATATGGATAATTATATAAATCTTAACGATTATTATGTTCGTTGTGTCATGTTAACAAAATTTACGAGACTAAACGGGCAAAATCTCCGAGTATAAACTGTTCGCTATGTTAAAAAATTGGCGGGAGATTTTAAATGAACAATGTATTCAAACTACAGCAATGTTTTTTAGAAAGTTCTATTAGAAATAAAGCGAATTCTTCTTTTCACTCGTAATTTCTAATATTCTTCAAAATTATCAAGAACTTGGTGTGTGTAAAGTAATTTGTTTTATACTTTTTTCATCGACCTTTTTGGTTTCGAGCTTACGAATATCAAGATGGCCGCTATTGGATCGAGCATGTATAGAGTGGTCGGTGTTCTGCGCTGGCGTTAGTACGTGCGAGAGAGAGTAGGGAACGTTCAGTTTTGCCGAAAATACGCAGTATTCGTGAAACCTCAACGTATGATAGGTTAAAAATTTGACATGTGTACAACAAGGAGTAGTGTGTCATACATACAGAAGAAATGTTAAGATTCGAGTATTATTCGCGCGAATACTGAGCTAAACGCTCGTGTGCGCGTTATACATTATCACAAGTATAGGATCAACGGTGAATAGTACCAAGTTCATAGTATAGAAGCACGTGGTGTTAAGGCGTTCTTGGTTTATCTTATCAAGTATTCAACGAGTTATTGGAGATAATTTTTTACACCGAGTGAAGATTCGAAGGAGTTCGATCTCCGCGATCGATTATCGTGACGAATGTAAGAATAACAAAATACATAATTTGAAGTGTACTTGAAATATAAGTACCCAGAGCATTTTTAGGTTTGCATCAAAATTCTCCGCGATAAAAACCGATTTCCTTCTCGACGTAACATAAAAGCGTCTGTTGGTACGTAGATTGTAGACTGCAAGCGATCTGTCGAACAGCTGTCTTGTCGTCACATGTCGGTTTCGTTTACCCCCTGGTAGTGTTAGTCGATATCAAGATACAAAATTATATTTCGCTCTCATGAAAGACAACGATCAAAGATCAAAGATCACTAGAAAATTCTATCTCACGTAACTTCTCAGTCCTCACGTTAATCGTGATTCGAATTCAGTTCGTCGTCGACCGCTGCACGGAGTAGTACGTCATATCGTAGATCGACTGTCCCTCGTGTCCTTTCCTTGTCCCTCTTCTTTTATCTATATATGTATATCTACTGTACGTACAGATATTACTTATACGCATACCCATACACCCACACCATTCTCAACCCTTGGATCGCGTATGGCGTATAGTGATAATTTCCTCTTTTGATCGCAGTGGGAAAACAGACTGTTAGTCGACAAGAATCGTCGAACTCGTTGAGAAGAAATCACGAGATCGGAAAGTTAAGATATTCGTAGTGTAGTGTATAGAAAGGTAAGCAATGAACTTGCTTCATATCTCGTAGACGAATATTATTACTAATATTCAAGTCAATTAAAATTTTGAAATTAAATTCACGTGATATAATTTTCTGCTTTATGTTGAAAATGTTCTCCTGTTTATATGAAAAAACATGTGAATCAATCGTAAAATAGACTTGATATAAATCGACATGATATACAATTAACACGCGATGGTTTAGTTGAAATGACTTTGAATTACTCTCGATTCAAACTTCCGGAATGGTACTGCTTGCTGTAACTACAGATTGGTCGGTAACATTTTTCTTTCGTTTATCCTATCGTGTGAATATTGTTATGGTTGCGGCATTCCACAAAGAAGTAATCGATCTTTCAGTTAGATATCGAATTCACGGTCAAATTGTTCGCGGCTACTGATCAAGAACTATCGGTGAATGAACAGGTACTAGAAGTCACATGCGCACACGCATCTTGTATTGTGTACAAAAATTTGAAATACATATAAAATTGCATTTTGCATATGTCTTATTGACGTTCAATTAATGTATACTATTATACGCTGCGTGTACTACCGTGACTAAGAATAGGGAAAGAAGCTACTACCAATTAAATGACGTTTACGCCGTTTATTCTTTCGTAACTTTTTTAAACGTAAGTAAAATTTTCAGGTTCAGTTGCATTTTTCTAGTGTTAAAAGATTTCTTCATTTTTCGTTTCAATTTCATACATACAATTCTTTATTGTCTTTTCCTTTCTTGGAATGGAGGAATATGTAATAAATGTTTAAGAGTTTATTGTGTCTATAGCAAAATGAAAGTATTCTTATCCTTTTGCGATTTGATCGAATGATTATTGTTCGAACGATGAGTACACAATTTTTAATTTATATAGCTGATGTCGAATGAGATTTTAACTAGAATATTATTATCGCTCTGATTTGTTTCCTTCTTTTATTCTGAGAAAAATTACTACCTATTGCTATCTTCGCGTCGCACATGGCGGCACCCAGTATCACCTGATACTTTGTCAAGTAAGAGCTGCACAACGTTATATACCAATGTAGACAAAAGCAAGTGATACAGTGACGCAGCAGGTTGTTTTCTCACTGATTACTGCAATAAATTAATTATAGGAACGTGCAGTATGAAATGTTAGCGCATACGTCCATTAGGTTGATGCATTTTATCGATGATCGTGTTGTTCTATGTATAGGTTTCCTTCTATAACTTGATGTGTCTGTCGATGTACAATTATTCTGCTCAATTTATTCTCAGTGTTGATCTTTAATTAATGACTAGTTGGTGATTTGCTGTTACACTACATATTATATATATATATATATATATATATATATATATATATATATATATATATATATATATATATATATATATATATATATATATATATATATATATATATATATATATATATATATATATATATATATATATATATATATATATATATATATATATATATATATATATATATATATATATATATATATATATATATATATATATATATATATATATATATATATATATATATATATATATATATATATATATATATATATATATATATATATATATATATATATATATATATATATATATATATATATATATATATATATATATATATATATATATATATATATATATATATATATATATATATATATATATATATATATATATATATATATATATATATATATATATATATATATATATATATATATATATATATATATATATATATATATATATATATATATATATATATATATATATATATATATATATATATATATAATAGACACATGATTTATCTTTTTTCTTTTTTATGTGTGGGGGAAATCCTCATGGATACCCCGCCGTTCTTCTCGGAAGCAGCTAGATAGTGTCGGACTTACCTACTTGACCCTTGACAGAAATGCTCCGGGACCTTTTTCGAATTGCTGCCGGAGCACTCCCGCGTCCTCTCCCATTTTGAGGGACCCATTCCTCAGGTCTAGTTTGGGCAGTGACAGGGACTACCCCTCTCAACGCTATCTCCTGGGCCGTCGTGTAAGTCCGAGGAGGACCCAGAACCTCCTCGGCGTGACGACCTTTATGACCACCTAAGGCGGCGCAAGGCCATCCTTCGGGACCCTACAAGGATGAGAAGTTCTCACCCTGTCCCGCTCTGCCCGCATACATGATTTATCTATCATTCCAAAAGTATCGATCGCCGTACCTTATGTATGCATTATTCAATAACTGTTTCCTCATAATTTGTAACGCTAATATGTATTAATTATGATATACATCAGGCTATTATACGTTTCGTCCACGTTCAATTACAGGTATTTGTAATTAAACTTATCAACCGTGTATTGCCATTACGTCAATTATTATACATCATGTGTTACATACATAACTACGTTTTTTCATTCCTTTTTTTTCTTTATATAACTGCGTGACTTTAAAGTAATGCTTACCTATCATCAAATACTTTCAATAGCGTGCCATAATAAATATAACATGTGAATGTGTGATAGATATAGGGTAACCCCGTATTCACCTTGGCATAACTTAAGCATAACATGAGTAATGCAGGGTTCGACGTGACGTTCAATGTCGTCTCTTTATCTCGGGGCTTCGCATTATGGTTCATTTGTTCCAACGCTTCTTCCACGCATACTACATACCGCGAGTGTATCGATACATTTGATTCTCGTAAATCGTAGGACAATCGTTTTTTAATTTCTGTTAAATCTAGCTTTTTATATAGACGGGATTTTGTGTAGTTACAATATTTATCGTATTACATTTTGCATCTTTTTTCTTTTTTAATTGATGACTAGATTCAGTTAATATAAAATTCGACGTCGAAAACTTCTGTTATCTTTCCTACAATATATCAGATTTGACAGTGTAGCATAAGTAAATTTTGTAACTGATTTATGTTGCGCCAGACATCAGATCATTCCTATTGTACCCTTTATGATATGAAGCTTGATAATTCTTATCATTTCTTCTTCACTGTCTGATAAGTTCGAACCTTTATTTATTCAAATATCTAGTTGACGAAATTTATACGTTGGAAAGAGGTTTTATTATCATGAGAGAAACTTTACCCGCAGCCCGTAATATTCGACGTACGTATATACAATTTGTTGTAGATATCTTCGAAGATAGCGGTATCAGAAAACTGAAAGTCTGCGTAAGATGGAAATGAACATGATAAAGTGGCTTACTTTGTAGTCATTTTGTCCACTTTTTATATGTACAGAAGGTATCTAAAGAAGAATTACCAGTTCATGAATAACAAATATCATTAATCCACAAATAAAAACGATAGATTATTAACTTTATATTAATTAAAATAGCTTCCGCAGTTTTTATCAGTTTATGTTTTGTTGAAGGTTTTATAAACTTGGAAAAAAAGTTTTCCGCCGAGAATAAAATTACGCTTATCTTAATTCGTTGTATGGAATTAATTGAATTATCTCTTATATATTAACGACATACATATAATATGCGGTTTCTCTGTTTATCTACGTTTATTTGAAAATGTTGAAGTGGGTGTCACTTCAAGGAAAACTCCACATCTTTTCTCAAGTTTAGTTTTCTTAGTTCCCAAAGCCATTGACTATTGTTTAGCACTAAATCATTTTGAAGGGCCTTTCAGCCTCATAGTTTTCTAGGAACATGTCTTGCACGGATGATGTAGCGGGGTACAGACAGGTGTATTTGTAGAAATACCCATAGATCCATGGTTTCGAAGCTCTTTCGTAAAGCAACGCTGCCAGCGTGCGGATGTGGATTAGCATACACATTGTACTTACACTTCAACTTGCTTAAATATATTTTCTATTATACATTCATCCACGTATTTCCTCTCTCTCTCTCTCTCTATTACGAGATAAAACCTTAACAAAAAACAAGCTGCACAGTCGTAAGTAGCTTGTGTCTATGATAATTTCAGGTTATTATGCATAATTGAGCGACGATTGTAGTTTTCCATTTTCTTCTGTATTTCTATTCATGGATTTTGTTACGCGGCGTGTAGTTCGCATCGAAATTGAAAATAGCGAAAAAGTAGGGGAAGAAAACGACGAATTTTTAAATATTGAGTAGTCAAATGTAAAGTTCCATTTCTAAATAACTTCGTAACTCTCGGAGATAAGGAAATCTTGAGCTTGTTCAAACCAGTAATGTAAATACAAATGTTTCGATTATAGCAATGTTGTTTACTAGATATTCGACAGATTTACCAGATATTAAGCGATTTGGAAAGAAGAAAAAAAGTGGTATATTAATTAATATTTTATCAAGATAGTCATTCTGAGCAATAACACTCAATTTTGGAATAGGCGGTCAATAAGGTTTTATTATTCAATGAAATTAATTTTCTGTTTCGACTAAGAAGACTAAAGAAGTAAGAAGACTAAAATGTCTGTACAATTTCTAACAATAAACGCGTCCCTTTACAGGTGATAATATTTTTTACATATAATATATGATAAAAAAAAAATTATTTTCCAGCGCGTTGAGTTCAGTAACCGTGAGAACGCGGATCTTCAATTCCTCGATATACAGGGTGGTTGGTAATTGGTGGTACAAGCGGAAAGGGGTTGATTCTACTCGAAAGAAGAAGTCGAAAATATAGAATAAAAATTTGTTTTCAATTTTTCCATCGAGACAACGATCTACAGTGAGATTATAACGAGACGTGATAAAGTGCACGCGTACCGAGCAAAAATTAAAGTCGATTTTCTCGAAAACAAAGCCTCAAACGAAAAATTTTTATTCTATATTTTCGACTTCTACCACCAGTTGGTAGCACCAGTTACCAACCACATGACACGTACATGTGTCCACGTTTATTTTAAATACACATTCAAAAGTCGCGATCTCTGGTTGTATCTTTGTAATACGATACATAGTTCAGTGGTCAGGCCTTGGCATAAACGATTCAGAAGCCTGTCAATATCCAGTGGAATAAAGGATCGAAACATACTGTGCTATAACGATGCCAAGTGGAAACAAAAAATGTATACAAAGTTCTACTAATATCCTTATCATTACATCCCATTGTGTTCGAATCGGCTCGTTCGTATTTTTTCCTCTGCAATTGTTATGAAACTATATACATGAAACTGATCCGTATACAATCAGAAATAATTTATCGAATCGTTTGGTATTTCCTTTCAGAATGACCTTATATTAGATTGTCCCAAAAGCTCGTTACGTTTCATAAGGAAATAATAGATGAACAACATTTTTTGTCTTATATTATTTTATTAAATTATGTATGTTCCATTTTGTTCTATTACTACAAAATGAACGTCACACACGATTCAATGTAATAATATAAAATCTATTACTTTCTTAAATGTTATTGACGACGGTATCACGTATTTAACTATGGTATTGCGTTTAGTTCCTAAGTCCAAGTCATTAATAAAATAATTTCGGTTGAAAATATGTTGAAACATCACGTGAAATGTGACAGCTCCCGTGTTTCGTTAATAAATTAACTGAACATGGCGCTCTATAGAAATCCGTTTCTTGCTCGTTTACATAATTTGACCTAATATTAGAGGATGCCAGCCATTAGAGCTTCGAACGATCGAGCCGATTTGTGCCTCGTAAGCGATCAAGGGACATATACGAACGCTTCCCAGACAGGAAGCTGACCAATAGGAACGATCCAATTTGAATCTTCACGTGCATGATTCGTGGACGCGTGATTTTATCTTTCCTGGTAAAATTGTAATTGGCAAGTTGGAACAACGCTATATCTGCTTCTAGTTCTAGTCCCATTTTACAAATCAATTTTCTGTTATGTTACGTACTTTTAACGAGGAGCAAGATTTTTCGATGCAGAGACTGTTAGAGAGAAAGTGGAAGGGAGAGAGAGCGAGAGAGAGAGAGAGAGAGAGAGAGAGAGAGAATTGGAGCATTGAAATTTATGTGAGAAGTTTTAATTACAGTCGAAATCCAGCTATCGTGTATGCCTTCGTTTGGCTTTAATTTCGAATCAAAACTAGTTGTACGTGCTATTAGTCTTACTAGAATATTGTTTAGCGTAAAGTTAGGATAGGTGGTTCTGTGAAACAGAGACTTCATCTGTGTGTAATTTGAAAGAATATTTACTATTGCAAGAGGAAATATTACATCACTTTGAATTTTTAGGAGGTGTTTGCTGTAACTTTCGCAACTCAATTTCGAGAGTCGAAACGGTAAACATAGATTTTCCGAATAGCCCGTGTGCTGTATTAAGTTAAGATAAATGGTTTATTTAGAATATTCCTTAGTAGGTTTTCATTAATTTTTGGTTCAATTTTCTGTTATATATTACGTATTAAATCATTACTGAAGGTTGACAGCTATTACGGAACAACGTTACGTAAATGTTTCACTTGCATCTATTCTCATTAATTTTCATTATTGGATTTGTTTCCCTTTTTCAAATATCTTGGCCATGAATGGAAATTCAAAGAAATTATTATGTTATGAAGTTATGCATATCCTTTCGATTCTTTGACATGTATAATACTGCTTTTAAATATTCTAAAATATTTCTTGCATTTTCGCAAATCAATGCAAAGTTATATACACTATACAGTGATATATTTATATGCATTGTTTTTAGATAATTTTATGTATTATTAATACGTTATACTTATCGCTTTCTAAGAAAATTCATTATAGAACGGTTTAATCCAGGCTTCAAGTTTTTATTAGAAGATTAAAGTATTATGTTGAGTCCACGATATTAAAGCCCCTTTTTTAAAGATAAACCCGTTTTCAAGGCTACATTAACGTTTCTATATAACTTAATCTTCGATGAGGATAATAATAATATAGCTACTAATGTATGGAATATAATTGGCATTGAGAACATGCTTAAGAATGAAAAATGATGCGAAATTAATTCTTCTAATTGCATAGTAATGTCTTCTTATTTTTAAATATTACAAAAAAATATGTTAATAATTTAATTGATGAAAATTGACTTGTAAATAGCAATTGTTGTAAAAGCAGGAAACAATAAGTTTGCATTTAGTAAATGATAACAAGAATATTCAAAGATTGATCGTTTGATTGTTTTAAAACAATTAAAATACGTTTATATTACGCAAGGCATATGAGTAATGAATTTCTATTTTATTTTAATTCTATTTTCATTGCATTTTAATAGCATACATTATGGTATTACATAGTTTCTAATATTAGTATTAGCTATAGTATATAATGTATATAATGTAGCTATATAATATAGTATTATTGCATTTTAACAGTAATCAGTTACTAATACCCCTTGGTCAATAGCCATTACTAGAATTATCGTCGAGATCTAATTTATTACGACTTAAATCTATCGATCTATTGATATAATTGGCATTAATTGTTGTTTGAGTGACTTATCCTATTAGAAATTAGTGTTTTAAAATAATCGTCAAATTAATTGTTCAACATACGCAGATGAGATCTGATTAAATATTATACTGTTCCATAAGAATGTCTTAAAGTGTGTACAACAATTTTTACTTATATAAGTCGATAAAAAGAAATTCTTCGTTGCGAGTGAAGATACGTAGGAGAAAAATCTGAATTACTGAAATGATTGAATATCTAGCTCATACTCTACAGTATTGGTCAAGGTTGAAGTTGGGTTACTTAAATACATATACGTACGTGTACATATACATATATGACGCGGCAGCTTGGTCGCTCAGTGACCCCATTGTCTATTTTCAAAAGTCTTTCTGACTTATCTGTAGTTTGTCCTTTAGCATCGTTGTTATACTGATTATCTCAACACCACTTTTTTCAAGTCATCCTCTTACGTATTAAAAAGCAAGTTAATTCTGTTTATCTAAGTAAATTTATTTTATGTTTATATTTTATGTTAAATATATTATGTTCACTTTATGTTGTGTTAAAAAGGAATATTAAAGAATGATAATTATGTTATTGAATGAAGAGGTTAATTCTATTGAATAAGAGGTTATATTCTATCGTAGTCATAAAAAATATTTATAACTTTACATTGATTACGTAACAAAAATAGAGAGAAGAGTGGACAATCTATAATCTTTAATATCAAGTATTAAAATTAAATCTTATAGGACATAGTCCCTCAGACTATATTAAATGAGCCATTGCTATTTCGATAGGAGTTACTTTAATTTCGTGAGGCTTCTCAATTTGACACGTCAACGTTGATAATGTTTCAATTTTTGTGACATACATTTTCGTTATAAATCGGCGCGTGGCAGTACGTGTATAGTAAAGTGCACTTAACCAAATTTAATCCACAGTTAACAGACTGTATAAGACTTCAAGTGAATTCAATGTCATCTTAATAGTCTTTCATAGCCAATATAGGGTATCCATAATGCAAGTGCATCGAGTATTTAAAATAAACAAATTCTTTCGTTATATTCTTTAGTTTCCATTTGCCATTTATTTCTCAATGTATAGTATAATTTCATTTTCATAATTTAATTTTATATTCGATTTTATAACTGAATATATTATTAAATTAGTATTCGCAAAAACAGATTCTTACTTGCGAGACTTCTAGAAACCAAAGAAAAGTTCAACCTACAGTCGAGAAGTATTGGAAACTATAGACACAATAGGCATTTTAAAAAAATGCAAAACAACCTCCGTTCTTTCAATAGGCATTGTTCAACATTAAGAGAAAATTGGAGAAATGGAATTGATGTAATTTTCCATTATCAATTACTATGAATAGCTGTTGTTGTTTGTGTTAGATACCGTATCTTTTTGCTTCCATGAAAGTTACATCGGCTGTATAGGAGGAGGAGGATGTGTATGTACATTCTATTTATATTCAATTATTGTAATTATCTGACCTCGATGTTTCTTTAATTCAAGAGTATAAGCAGTCTACATTTCGATACAATTTAATTAAATAATAAATTACGATCGTTCGGCGTTATGCTGATAAGAATTATTATCAATCGTTCGGTTTCAAGTGCATAGTTCATCTGCCTTGTTACGGCTCCGTTGCTCTATTTATAAGTTCATATCACTCGATAAGTACAGAAAAGTTCTGCTGACTTAAAACAAGGAGAATCGGTATTTATGTCGAGAACGATTTTGATGATGCTCGGGTACAGTAGTAGGACATGTGCATCCTAAAATACCATTAACCACGTCATTTGTGCCAACGGTTTTTATTGCAGTGTCATTAATCCGCATCAAATCAACTTCCATTAAAGTACAGGAGGTACTGATATCTATCTATTGGGTATAAAGGCGACCAGATAGTGATCCATCATGATCGTGGACGAAAAACCGTGAGTCGCAATAATTATAGAAAAGAAAAAGAAAAAGACAAAATCACCACGCTCTTTTTTTTATGCTATTAAGAATATTTTTAGCTACGCATGTACGTGTATTTTGCCTGCAGATTTACAATCACGCTCTTTCGAAGAACATTATGGTATAGAATTGGAATAGATCTGATGTAGTGTGATGTAAAATATTAATCTAGTGTTAGTAAGTTAGTTCAGTGCCATAAAGTTTTGCTTCTTTCTATCTCTTATTTATGTCAATTCGATGATATTTATCAGCATGTTTGTGTCAGTATAGTGAAGGGTAAAAGTATATAATACGCTGCACATTGCTGATGTTACAAAAAACGAGAACTTTTCAGTGGATTGGTAAACAATCGAATGATAATTATAAATTGTAATGAAGCGAATAAAGTATAAGAGGCACTTCAATTCTATCTGTATCAATGTGTTTTTATCTGCGTAATACGTTTGTTATTAAATTACGTATAACGATTCCGAATTATTCCTTCTGTATTCTTATCTATAATTCAGGAATATTTGATTGTGAACTATACTATTTTACTTTACCAGCCTCTTCCTTCAATGACTAATCAGTACAGAAAAATTTTGATGATTACTTCTATCTTTCTAAGAAATTGGTCCCTATTCCAAGTTTCCAAATAGCAATTGTTAACGTTCTTTTGCTTGAGACTGAATACAACGTGTAATTTCACAATCTCTTGTATTGCATTTATCTATTAAGTCACAATCTATATCTTAAAGAAGTTGTTACATAATTGTACATTCATCCAGTCTTTGTTATTATATGATTTATGTTTCCTTGTAATTTGTCAAGCTGATAAATCTTTATCATATAAAAAAAATGATAAGTTTCTTTCTACAGTAATTTAGATTTCGTGTTACAAATTACTTACAGAACGAGGACCCTTGATTTGTCCATGTGCTGATTCATAATCAAATTGCATTTTATGATTATCAACTTACGATAACTATCGATTTTTCTATTTTTCTACGAAACATTGCAACAAGTTGTTTCTTTCTCTCCTATGCTGGCTGGAATACCATGTATAGAAAATAATGTATAGAAAAAAATGAAGTGTCATATTTTATTCAAACGTTTGCAATTATAATTGTACGTGCATTTATCAATCAACTGAAAGATTCATAGCGTCGCCGTTTTTTTAGATCACAGTTAATGGTAAGTAAATTTGTTAATATCGTAAAGTATTGTTAATGCCGTACAGTAAATAAGAAGTTTGCAAATGAGTACATATCATTAATGGAAACAGGTATGTATTTTTCATTGCATAACTACATCTCATACATAATTCGTATTTGAATAATAGTCTTATTTGTTACATGTTATTGTTCCTTCGCGCCACCTCTATTCCCGGCTGTCTTCTATTATTTCTTAATTTCTTCATTTCGAAGTAATAAAATATATTCTTTGTATAAACACGCAGAAAGAATGATACATACTAATTTTTAACAATCAAATCTGCTACTTTTTAATTGTTTATTCACAGCCGCATGAACCGCTATGATATATGTATATATATTAATTGTTGGAATTTATATTTAAATTTCATTTACAATAGATTATTAGCACGTAGAAATCAATTATCGGACATTATTACAATTAATTCATTTTATCGAGGAAACATGAACGATTGCAAATGCGTGCGGTTTATCTCAGCAAGCGAACCATGTAATTATTCTTGTTTAGTCATTCCATTATTTGTATTGAATTCGGAGACTATGCGTAACCGGCCTTGATCTTTAACGTGTTTTCGTGTATCGTGTTTCCTCTGTATCTTTGCAGCTAAGTAGTAGTAGGTTGCATGAAAAGTGAATTGCCCTTCGCTTGGAATCTCAAATAATGAAAAGACAATGCGAGTAGTTGGTAGCCGCATCTGGCACGAGCTAACGACGTTCAAAGTCCGTGAAGATATTCGAATCACATGCACGTTGGACGTGTAGAAGTACGTTGTCGCCAGACTGTAGTCACGCCATGTCTTTAATTGTATTTGTGTCTATTGGTACACATAGGGTGTCGCGTGGCGCATTCTATCGTTTTGAGGCGGTACGAAACGTTATGAGCAACGATTGAATGATTTTAGGTGCTTTAATTTTTTTGTAGTACTATGATATGAATGTGTATGCTGTTGCAATTTCAAGCTACAACTTCTTCCCTTTTCCTTCTTCGTCTTTTCAACCAAGAACGCACAATGTTTCTTCTTTTTTCATTTGAATAATCGTTTAAACGAAATACTCTAAGTGGTGAAACACGTATAATAATGCAGTAATAAGATAAAAATGGCGAAAATGCAGTTATCAACATCGTCACAGTGTTTTGTCTTCCTGATATACAGAGATAAAAGGGAAGTACGTAATAAGAAAAAATGGAAATTTCTTGAAAGTTCAACAGGTTGAAATTCAGATTTATTTACCACACGTGTACACGTGTATTTACATACACAAGAAATGGACACCTTTAGTACAATTGATTATGTTCACTTTGACTGTAATCTTGCTAATACGTAAGTTGACAAGTTTGTATCAATTTACACATCTGTTCTCAAGTTGTTAAATCTAGATTTGCATTCTAAGCTTCTATTTCACGTGTATATAAATACACATTCACACGTGTGGTAAACGAATTCGAATTTCAATTCAATATATGATATATATAATATATAATTTCAATTCAGTAGGCATGTATTCCTTGTCCAGAACGTGTAACTTGTATTTACATAGCCGTGTGCATTGTACATATATATGAAGAAGATGGATTATTTATTTATCTTTCATAGCTTGACGCGTGTTTCATATCATGCCACGTATATACGTGTACTTCACTACACCCTCAATACCGTGACCACAACTTTTTATGCACGTATGTATATTCAAGCAATTCCAGGTATCTCAGGAACGTCGCTACCAAATCTATATTTGTAGCAGCCGGTAATGTAACACTTTTAGAGTAAAATAAACTGTACAAAGCTTCAAGAAATATTTATATTTTACGATTCTTGTCTTTCTACATTTTTGCTGTATACCTTTCTTTTTTGTATACCTTTCTTATAACATTTGTGATTTTATATGAATAACTGCTGTCTCCTTTACCAAATTCTTTTCTTGTTTTCATACTCCTTTTCGTTTATTCCCTTTCTGCTATTCATTCAGTGATTGAAAACAAACCCATCAAAACACACCTTTATTACACGGCGCCGTTAAGTTTTTCTTTTAATTCTCAACATCACGCGATCGCGCAACTACGCGTACTATTTTTATACGATGCATGTTTTGGGACCGGCAGACTCTGTTTTTATCTATGTTTTAAGGTCGTTTGATCGTTTGCAAGGTTATCAAAGAATTAATATATACGCTTAACAAAAAAAAGGAGGGATTAAAAAAAAGATAAAAACAAACAGTTCTCCGCGTTCTTTGATTATTGTTAAAAACAAGTTAAGAGGGAAGAATGAAGTAGCTCGATCTATTCACATTGGGGAGATTCATCGGGGTGTTTGTTAGATCGTATCGAAGTCATGAATCTTCGACTGGTAAAGTAAACATTGGTTAGATAATTAGTCTAAAGTTCGAGAGTTAGAAACGGCGCGTTATTTCGTTTTCAATTTATCATTTTATCAGCTGTCGGTTAAATAATTAATCGGATATCTGAATAATCCTTAATTTTGTTTGTTATGCTTTGGTTCAAAGCTACTTCTTCTTGTTTTTCTTTTTAAATGTAATGCGTATGAATGATTTAGCCTTGAAAAAAACGTTAAGCTTGATGTATGAATGCGAAGAATGAGTTTTTGCTAAAATTATGAGCTTGATACGGAACTGTTTCAGATTAGATATATATATGTACATTTTTATGACTCGTCGTACTGTACCTCTTTTTTTAAATAATATGTAGAATATTAGGCATGTTAATATTTTTCTGGGAAGCCTTTACGATATTTAATTTGTAATGCAATTACTTCTGCGTAGTATATTACATAGAATTGCTATAGTAATATATTACTACTTTCATTGGTATATGACTGGTGCTGATATCGAATAATGACGTGTTATACATATCCAGATATTAATGGTATGCTCTTTAGTACTAATATTGACACTGACTCCATTCCCTGCAATGCAGATAATGCAGTGTTCTGTAGCCTTGATAATGACATTTCTCTATACAGGAAATTTCATTAATTAAAATTGGTACGATAATCTTTAAATGTCTTTAGACGTACTTATACTGATATTTTGAATTCAAAATTATCATAAACTCTTTTACATCCCTAATGAAAATCCCTGTACATACCGATAGTTGCATTAATATCATATAATACCAAACCTGCACTTTGCGAATCGTTCTTTATTCCATGCATCTTATCATACTAACATCCGAAATCATTATTACACAAACAATAATAGATCGTTATTATTTCAGATTTAAAATAACAGGAACAATTTGACATTAGTCGCGAAACAAAAATTTCTTTAGATTATCGGTCTGCATTGATAACGAAGCTTTTTTTAAAAGAACGCTGCTTATACAATAAGCTTTTAATTAGTAAACGATTTTGTAAGGCACTAACATACAAGAAGAACGAGATGCATATTTCGTAACATTGCGTTTTCCTGTCTAGGGAGATGGAAAGCTTTTGGGTTATCAGCGCAGTCAACGCGATCAAGGCGATTTCGTACCTGTACGATCTGCTGACGTTCCCGGTATACCTCGTGCTCCAACGACCTTGGGAGAAAAGGAAGGCTTCACGAAGGATCAAGGCTCGGCCCATTACAAAGGATGAACAAAGTATTACGTACAGGAGTGTTGATCCGCCGAGGGAGATGCACATTACCCTTGAACGTGAAAACATCGATACGCTCGAGAAGGTGATGGGATGGATCACTAAAAAACACGGCGAAAAAAAATGCGTTGGTACGAGAGAGATACTTGCGGAGGAGGACGAGGTTCAATCCAATGGTAGAATATTCAAAAAGGTAGAGTAAGAAGCGATTGTTTTGTTGTAATTAAAATCATGATACATATGATTTGATTAAAAGAACAGAATCGAAGAAGAAAAAAATACTTAGAGGTTCCTTAGTCAATGTACAGTGTGTCATAGTGTGCGTAGATATGTGCGTAGTACTTCGAATGTAAACAAGTATTAGGGTCAAAATAACAGTTGACATCATCAGTAGTATGCTTTTGACATCTTTGTTTACATTCGAAGTGCTACGCGTATCTTTCAACATGTTTCGTAACATAAAATATTAAGATGAACAAAGTCAAATATCTCAGAAACGGTAAGTTTCAGGATAAATATGTGTTAGTACTTTTATACTCAGAATTAGCTATTCTGTTGCAATCAACCATAAAAAATAGAACGTTCTGTTAAAAAAAAACAAAGTTAATCTCTATATCTCCTCTATGCATCCACCTGTCGAGAAACCATTGTTACCGTGTTATGTAATTCTTTGAATTCTACAGCTTTCGTTAATAATATTTTCGCGTATTATTTAAAGCAACGACGGTATCTCAGGTGGGCAGAGTTTGTGATACAGGTTATATATTACGTGCATATGAATGAATAATATGGATGAATTCAACTTAATACAATTACAATTACACTAATTACAATTCAACTTAATTACAATTTACATGAGAAAAAACTGATTACTAATTATTCTGTTACAGTATAAAATGGGAGAGTACAAATGGAAAAACTATAATGATATGGACAGGCTGACAACATCCTTTGGTCGAGGCTTAAAAGAATATAATCTTACGATGCAGAAGAACATCGTGATCTTTGCCGAGACTAGGGAGGAATGGATGATAGCCGCCTATGGTTGTTTTAAACAGAACATGACTGTAGTTACTATTTATGCGACGTTAGGCGAGGAAGCTATTGCTCATGGAATCAACGAAACAGAAGTCAATACCGTGATTACTAGCCATAACCTGTTACCAAAATTCAAACGGCTCCTTAATGTGTTACCTAATGTTAAAACAATTATTTATATGGAAGATCAACTGGTACCTACTGATACAAAGGGTTACAAGGTGAGTACCTTGATCCAGACTACCGGCCATAAATATTAGGACACTTATTGGTTATATTTATTGAAGAACTATACCAAATTTTACCTTGTATATTATTTTACATTATAAGTAAATTATGGATATTCATGTAAATTCATATTTTTGTGAATATAATTAATTACAAAGAAATAATTGAAGAAATTAAACTGTAGCAGAAATATGTTTCATTCACTAAATATTATAAAGAGTATATTATAAAAAGTATGCTTTGGTTCTTTTATATATCTTTGGATATTATACGTATTATGTGTCTAAATCTAAAAATAATAGATTTATAGTAAAATAATTAAAAAATAAATGTAATGAACAGTATTCAATTTATACTAAATTTCTCAGCAGGTGTTCTATGTAGTATTTATGGTACTGTAGAATTAAAATTAGAGCATCTAACTATAAAAAACATTATATAGAAATCTTCACTAATTTGTATACCATTTTGGTACATTTTAGGCTGATGTTAGGCTGTTACCTTTTTCTGATATACTCCAGACAGGTAACAGTTCTGCAGCATCATTATCATCACCAAAAAGCTCTGATACTGCAATCATAATGTATACATCTGGGTCGACCGGAGTACCTAAAGGTGTGCTCTTGTCGCATACAAATGTGATTTCTGTGATGAAGTCATTCTGTGATGTCGTTGAAATTAAATCGGATGATGTGTTTCTTGCATTCTTACCTTTGGCTCATGTATTTGAACTTCTTGCTGAGAGTGTGTGCCTTTTAAGCGGTGTGCCTATCGGCTATAGTTCGCCTCTTACTATGATCGATTCGAGTAGTAAGATTCAAAGAGGATCCAAAGGGGACGCGTCGGTTCTGCGACCAACTTGTGTAACTTCCGTGCCAGTAAGGTTCAATAATTGTATTATATCATACTGTGACGTTAGTATATAATAATTTTGGTTTCCTGTATCTTTTATAGCTTATTTTGGACCGTATCTGTAAAGGTATCAATGAAAAGGTAAAGAAATCGGGGCCTCTGAGTCGGACCATTTTCAGATTTGCCTATGAATACAAATTGAAATGGTATAAGCGTGGTTACGATACACCTGCCTGCAATAAATATGTTTTTGGAGCTGCAAGACAGGTTCTTGGTGGAAAGGTTAGACTTATACTTTGCGGTGGTGCTCCTTTGACTCCAGATACCCAAACTCAAGTCAAAATGTGTCTCTGTGCCACATTGACTCAAGGATATGGCCTTACAGAAACAACTTCTTGTGCTACGGTTATGGACAGTATGTATTTCTTTTTCTTTTCATTTCTTATTAAACGATGTTTTGTTTGATACATTAGATTATACGATTTCTCATTTTTAAGAGCATGATAGGAGTACAGGAAGAGTAGGAGGACCAACCACTATTTGTGATATTCGACTAGAAAATTGGGAGGAAGCTGGTTACAGAGTTACAGATACACCATATCCTAGAGGAGAAATATTAATTGGTGGTGCAAATGTTTCGGCTGGGTATTACAAATTACCAGACAAAACGAAAGAAGACTTTTTTTATGAAGATGGGAAACAGTGGTTCAGAACCGGCGATATTGGAGAAATTCATGAAGATGGTTGCATAAAAATTATAGGTTATATTAAGTTTTAATCTCCATCTTATAGCCTTCTTGGAAAAAATATTTCAGCACTTTTTTTATTTGGTCAATATACATTTTTACAGATCGAAAGAAGGATCTAGTTAAATTGCAACTTGGTGAATACGTATCTTTGGGTAAAGTTGAAGCAGAACTGAAAACCTGTCCTGTTGTGGAGAATATTTGTGTTTATGGAGATTCACATAAATCTTATACAGTGGCACTAGTAGTACCTAACCAATACTATTTAGAACAGATTGCCAATGACTTAGGTATTACAGGAAAAAATTTAGAGGAACTGTGCGATAATCCTGATATTGAAAAAGCGGTGTTACAGGAGCTGGTTGAACAAGCCAAAAAATGTAGATATTTGAAAAATAATTGTTTGTCTAAGTACCAATTTTCAAACCTTTTTAATGATATTTAAATAATCTTTATTTTTAATACAGGCAATCTCCAGAGGTTTGAAATACCTGGTGCTGTGAAACTGTGTGCAGAACAGTGGTCACCTGATATGGGACTGGTAACAGCTGCATTCAAGCTTAAAAGGAAAGCAGTACAAGAACGTTATCAACACGAAATCAATAGGATGTATGCCTCGTGATGAGAAGAAATTTGCAAGAAATATAATAGTGAAGTGATGTCGATATTCAAGGTTTCCGATGTGGCAAAATTTCGATACCCTTCGTTGGAATTTTACGAAACGTGATCGAATGTTAATTAAGAACTTCAGATTTGGAAACGTATTTTCTCTGTTTTCTTTACTGAAAAAGGTGTCGACTTTTTAATACTACGAAAGTCAACTTACAACACATCGTCAAACGTATATAAAAAAGAACTAATATATAAAGAATTTTTGTCTGCTTAAGAATATTTTATTAGTCAATTTAGAGTTTCGTTCGAGACGAGAAATGACTTTGATCTTCAATGGTGTAAGTATATAAAGAGCGTCTTGTAACATAATCGTTGTCTTACGTGATGCAAGGTATGAGTGAGAATAAACAAATGGTGGAGGTGATTATTCCGCGGAGGAAATTATTTTTCTTCCTTCTACATTTAGTTCCATCTTAATAATATACTCATTCCTTGTAACAATTCTTGAACTTCGTGAAAGATAAATCGCTGATCGACTAGCATATTAATGTTATAAGTTCATAACTCGTACGATGTACTTATTTGAAGTATTATTTGAAATCGTCGAGTTTAATTTGTCGCTATAAAGTTACTCTGCTAATAATTACTTTGTTTTATGCATTAGGATATGTATATATACAAAAAAATCAAGTGACGAGTTATCTGCTCTTACTTATTCTTGATATTAAAGCGTGATGTATGGTAGGTGTTTAAATATCTCTAATTTTACGCCAACATAAATTGATCTTCTGTTTAGGATTTTCACGTAGAATTATTCTTCGTCTAATACTGTACAATACTTGCAGATAATGCCATTGTTTTGAGTTATTATTACATCAAAGCATCACAAAAAACTTTCTTTTCTTTCTTCTTTATCTATCGGGATACATTATGTGTGCGCATGTGTTGATATGTATGCATGTTTATTATTGTATGCACATATGAACGAGGAAATGAGGATGTAATGTATGTGAGCTTATAAAAAAAAAAAAAAAATGAAGAAAAACTGTGTTCACAAAAGGGAAATTGTTCTAGTAATTTTTTGTAGTCTTCCTATTTGCTGTAATGTGTCAATTCTTTGAAAAGCATGAACGGTTAAAGGATTTCTTTGGTATTTCAATTTCGTAGGCATTACATAGGATCTATCATTCAAATATCTATTTAGCTCCAAGTCATGTTAATTTGCACGAGTTCCATTCGCGATTTGCAATTAGTGGTCTTCCTATTAATATCCGACGTTATACAGGAGATTCGTCTGCAATAACATTAACAACTTATCTTTTTCAAATGCTTCTTACCAGATATGGTTGATATGCGTATATCTTAACAAATGAATGATTATATTTCATAGAAATTTTTATCTTTTCTTTTTCATTGAAATTTTAATAAAAGAATGGCGCATTGAATAGCGATTTTGTATTATACTATAAAATATCGTGTTGATTGCGCATTCTATATATTTAGTGTCTAAGCATTAATATTCGATGCGCAAGTAAATATGAAATTGTTTAATATTTTATTTGTATTTCGCGGCTTGTGTGTCGCGACTGTATAAGGAGAGAGAGAAAGTAAGACATTTGATAAACATGATGGATTATCAATTTGATGGCTCATTCTCCTTTTCTAGTTGCATTAAGAGTTCCTGCAATATAGCTGAACATATGCGTTATGAATTGTTACGAAACTGTGCTGATTTCCATAAATTATTAAAAGTTGTACAATATTAGATAGGAAATGATCAATTGTCGTTTGGATATAATCATATCATCAATACCTATGATTACCATTACTTATTATAATTATCGTCTTGAAATTATGAAATGCAAAAATAAATGTACAGATCTATAGTACACTTACATAGTATTATTGTGATTCTTGTGTTTTTCTCTCTAATTTGTGATCAATCGTATATACAAGCGATATGTATATTTATATATTTCACAGCGTTTTCATTTTTTATAATTCATAGCACTGACAATAATCCAGCTCGTACAAATGTTGGAAAGATTGATAGAATAAAAGTATGGGAATTCTCACTGTATATTGCTCCTTTTAGGTCCATTCATTTCCTACGCCAAAATATTTGTTTTAAAGTTATTAGTAGCAAATATATCTTTTTTGTTTACTTAATATTGCATTCTAAAGAATAGTATCTATGAATATGAATCATGATCATTATCTTTAAATTAAAAAGATTATATTCATTTTTCTTATATTAATTAAAGATATTGTTTCTGGATCGTTTAATGATTATTAGCAAATAATAGAAGCGAACATCTAACATGTTTAAATATATGGCGCCATTTTTTTAATTAGCCAGCGGATGGCGCATTCATAATCCTACATGATCCTACTCTTACAGTTTCCTATCATTATCGATTCATTATATGTGGATCAGTGTGGTTGAATTCAAAAGCTTCTTGCTAACCGCGTTTTTTTATATTTCACAAAAAATTGTTTTCGAACAGAAAAACTTATTGTTCTAGCGAAAAATTGTGTTTATACGTGTTATGAACATTATGTGTGTTTCAACAAATACAGGGGGAACAATGCAAAAGGAACACGATGACATTGTTATATTCAAGAAGATTTTATTTGGTAAGTTTATTAATGAATCTTTCTTAAAATAAGTTTTCTAATAACTAATATCATTTTTTATTTCCTTCTGTTATATTGGTCGGAAAATTGGTCAGAAAAGAAAACACTCGTTCCAAGACATCTCTTTAATTGTTTATTTGTTACAAATGCAGAAGAAATAATATATCGTAATACATAGAGCAATCTATCAAGTTGGTCATTGCAATAGACATTTTAGTATATCGAATCGCGCCTTGTTACTGAGAAATCTCTCTCGTTCTCTGTTTTCTTACATAAAACAGCATCTACTTTCAATAGAAATACAAGTTACCCACTAAGCAGCCCTTATCACGAGCAAGTCGTGTAACATTCATAAAATCTCTAAAATCTGTCGCGTTTACGACGAGATGTCGCGATCCACCATAAAAAACATCTAAATTTCACGGTGCATAAATGCATGCGCGAGGAACATCAAAATTCCGCCATATTGTGTACAAGCCTCCAGTTGATTTTTTTTCAAACTTAAAACAATTGAAATATTTTATTCATTATTGTTAAAATATACGCTTACATATGTATTATTTTCGCAATATCACGAACGCAAAAAATATTTACATATATCTAATAAGTCTTAAAATATTTAACTACTCTATTAGAGAAAGAGAGAGAGAGAGAGAGAGGAGTATAATTTTTACGCTTTCTTATCACAAGTACGACTTATCTAGGGAGAAATTTTGAGCGATGCGTATAGTTTTCATTTGACAATTTTTTGTTTGATTTGTTCTATTCTTTTTGTGTTAAAATGGTTGAAAGTTAAATTATCTAATACATAATATATATTACAGTGTTTAATTATAGAACCTATAGTAGCATTCGCAATAAGAAGAAAATTGTGTCCTTGTTGTTTAACACGTTCTCTATCATGTTACTCATACGACTTCCTTATATGAGATTTTTTATTTAAAGTCATATCGTACAGTATTTACAATATTATTCACAAAAGTTAGATTTCCGCGATATCTGAATGAATACAGCATGAAAAACTGTTCGAATCGTCTATCATCAATTTAAAATAAAAAGTACACTCGACGCTTTGTATTTTTTCGTGAAACCATTTATTTCTCGAAAATGATTGAAAATTGAAAAGAACGAAAATAACTAGACATGTTATAAATATATAACGAAGAATTCATCTGACCCAGGACGAAGAGATTTGCATTTTGTTAATTTTGTAAATATTCTAGGCAAAGTAAACATTCAGGAATTCTCATATACAATAGCAAAGAAACGATTTTTAAAAAAAGTGTTCGAGTTATACTCAAAAAGTAGATGTTGCAATTTAAAATAATAGAGAATTTTGGTAGAGAACTTGTCAAAACTATAAACAGTTATATGTCAATAACAATAACGATGTTCACGATGATTGCATTTGTCAGACGGAAGGAGTGAAATTATTGAAACAACCAGGAGGCTTGTACGTTGTTTCCATGTCATCCACACTCGTCACTCACTATTATTTATGCAATAGATTTTATCCACGTTTCAACAATGTATAATAATAATAATATCTAATAATAAGTACTCATTATTCTACGGTCGTTTTCTACAGGCCATACACAATCAGATCGAGACCCTGGTATAATAATCTCAGTTCTCTGAAGTATATTCTAAAGTTTTTTGGTCAGAATCCTTACGTTGTACGTGTTAATTGTTACATTGAGACCCTTTGTACACTTAACGGATGTGACGATAGGAGTTAAAAAGTCTCTTTCAGGAAGTGATCAGTGTTAATCTTCTCTCATTTTTTTCTTCTTTTTTGTAAACACGTTCAGAACTCGCTTTGAAGAGATCTTGTAGGCAGCTATAGTTCTAGGCTAATTATTCCCAAAGTATTGAACGCCTCGAAAGAATTTAGAACGCCAATGTTCCAACAAATTTTCGGTCGATTTTTGTAAATTAAACTAGATCTTTTCGATGCCTCATTTGATTTCTCTTTGTGCAAAATTTTAATTTGAATTTGTTGTTTAGTTGAATTTATAGATTTATTTTTCTTGCTTTATATCTCGTGAGACTATGCTATACAAAATTAGTATCGCGCGTTCTATGCTTTCGTGCAAGTTAATTCGATGGTCTGTATAATTTTGCAGACATCCTGATACGTCAAAATAATTGTTAACGAATCGTGTAATTTTGCAAACATTCTTACGAACGTTCGAAATGCGTTCTATCGCCGAGAACGATATCAGAGGATAGAAAAGTTTGTTTCATTATTTTAGAAATAGTAAAATTGATGTTCAATCTGTATCATAGTAGTTTCGCCCAATACTTTGTAAATGATCGCTTCGAATGAAAAATAAAACGACCTTCGGAGGCAAGAAGTGTCAGTTCGTTACGATCGATGTTTCATCGTAACTTGGCGGTAGTTTAGGCCAGACACTTCTATTTCAGAACACATTAATTGAAGTATTCCTAAAGAAATATTTCACAAGCAGGCCTTCATTAATTTCTCTCGACGCATCGTTGTTACTATCCACTTTCCGCATAAATAATTACCAGAAAGGCAAAGAGACAAAACATCAACATGCACAAACATCTAACGAATATAATTTATGATAAACCAAATATCGTTAAACTAATAGCAACGTGTTATTCTAAAAAGCAATTGCGCGATACTGTTAGGACAAATTCGAAATAAACCGAAAAGTTTAGAGTTCGATCCGTAGTTCGATAAAAATTGTTTCATTAAAATTATCGGCGGCGTTGTAACAGAAAAAAAAGGAGAAGAAAACGTTATTAACACAGTTAACAAGAAATAATTGTTACGCTTCTATGACAAATAGAGAAGGATTTGCGAAAACCGTAGCAATTGCATCCTAAAATATCACATTGTCCGAATTGCAATTCCTCGCCATTTTCTATTATAAGAACCGCTATTTCCAGGCGCAATCTGCAGCCGGTGCTTCGTAATGAGATCGAATTAAACCGTTCTTGGGGGAATTAATGAATGCCCCTGCAGATGTTCGCGGTAAAACACGACGATTTAGTAGACTTTCAAGCTACGTATTATATATATGCATACACCCGTGTATCACCTAATATCTCGTTAGTAATGCAATATCGTACCGCACCAACGGGTGCTATACTTTTTACTTTGCATCCACGTTATGTGCTTTCGCCTGTTTATTTACACGTTTTACACGCACAACAGCACGCCTGCACGATTCTGTTCCAACCGTCCACCTACGGTCTTTTAAATCGCAACTTTTTTTAATGCGAGTTCGCCATCTACGTTGTTTTCTTATATGGAAGTATATTCGCGCGTTTATATTTTGTTTAACGCGAAAATCTCTGGCGTATCTGCGTTCTGTTCGATTCAGTAGCCTCCCGTTTATTTGTAACTTCGCGCGATTTAAAAGTCGCTCGTATGTATCTTAATTCTTGCTCTTGTAAAATTCTGCGTAGAATTCTGTACTTCCTGCGATGTGGAAATCTTCCATATACTCGTACATCTTCGACTACGAAGATATAGAAACAAACGTGTAACTATATTCCTTTAAGTCGATAAAGTAGGAAGTTACACATTTTTGTATCCTTTTTATTTTGCAGCTTTCCTCCGTATCTGTGACTATCTTCTTAACTCGCAACGTAGTTATTCGTATACGTATGCAGATATTCTTCGTGTTGCTCGTATATTTCGATAACTTTAGTTGAAATCAGCGACGTATCTTACAAGCGGGTTTCATTCTTTGAATTTCGTTGGACGTACGTATTTTTTTTTTTTATCGTTAGATTTATTCTTATATCCAGATAAATCGATCTTCTCGAACGTGCAACGTCTTCGTGTGTTTAGAATGTTTCAGAGTGAAATTTCGAGTTAAGAGGGATTGGAATGCCAACAATTTTTAACGCGCGAAGAAGATCAAGGAATTGACATTTATTATGAATATTTAATATCACTATCGTTAATCTTTAACGATATTATTGGATTAAATTACCGAGTAACGGCAGGAACCTTTTCGGTTTTCAAATTGTGCAGGCATGCTCGTGCACTTTCCAAAATGATTATTACTTTCCATTAATTCTTTAATGCTCGTGTCTACTAACCGAATTTCATCCGTTCCTCGATTCCACGCCCAAGAGATTCGAAATCGACGATGTTTACAGAACATCCACAATTACTGTTATAGCAGCTAATAACCATTCATCACCTAATCGAAATCGTTCTATATGTACAGGATACGACGTAGCTTTCCGTGCGAGCTGAGCTACAGTGGTTCTACAGCAATTTTAGTATTTCAAGGTCTGATTCATCAATTGCTATCGAATAATTTATTTAACGCTGGAAATTTCGACAAAAGGATATCGTAGAATCATATACAGCGCTATGATTCTACGATTCGCGCGGTATAAAATTTTCTCAATAAATTACGTCGATAATAAGAAAATGATTTTCTCGAAAGTTCTACTTTCGATGTTATTTTCGTGTCTCGTGTTCTTGAAACAGCTGAACTCGTAGATGAGTCTATGCTATATATTCTGTACGTCCTAACGAACGATATTCACGAAGACACTATTGTACGCTAATGCAAACGCTTGCATTAGCTTATTCGTTAATTTCTATCCTAACAGGTTATTTTTCAAGTTCGTAAGTATGAGAAGTTGCAAGAACGTTGTTTCGGAGGAACGGATGAATGTAGATTGTGCGTCCAGTTTTCTTCGTTACCTTTCTTAGCGGAAAATTCGGTAATTATCACGAAGGTAATTATCTCGAAGCAAAAGGCGAACGTAATTAAATTTCTGAAGGTTTCCTCGACAGAAATATAAGCGTTTTGAACGAGTGGTAAATACAGATACCGACATATACCGACGCGGATGCTACCTTAGAATCGAAATTATCGTTCGTTGATGTCGCTTCTATGTGTTCCCAAAATTCTCGTTTCAATCTTTTCGTCGATCGAACTTCGTTGAAAAATACCTTCGGTCTTCTGTCTTCTTCATCTTTCTTTTTTTTTCTCTTTTTTTTTTAGCTATCGATAAACATTTAGACGTCGGTGCAGAAAGTATCGATTTGTCTGTGCTTTTGAAACCCGAACACCGATGATCGATCGTCGTTTTAATCCTCTTACATCGGAAGATACTCGATTTCACGCAGGATTAATCGAACGTTTGTAATTTATTATTACTTCGTATCAAATCAGCGATTTTGAAATCAGCTTCAGCGCCACGGTTTATGACGTTGTATTATCTTTTTTTTTTTTATTATTATTAATTACCATCGTTTAACAACCATAGAGTATCATTCATGATACTTACGCAAATTAATATTTTGACGAATACGATTAAAGGAATGAAATGCGTGTAAAAATATATTTCATCTGTTGAGTGCTATCTAGGATGAATACTTGAGACGTTTTTCTACATTTTTACACGTTCTCTGCACTGCGCGTATTCTTTGATTTAAAGCATTTTTCCTAAACGCGTAAAAACTCGCAGCCTACTGGGTTGCTCGATAAATTCCTAACGTTTATGGCAGTAGGTGTATTACATTTCGTAATCTACGTATCTAATAAGATCGGAAGAGTGTTACACATTTGTCAAAATTAAGACTTTCCGGTAAAAACGACGTTTCTTCGAAAGAAATATTTCAAAGAAATAATCTTCTACAATATTCGCGTAACGTTAAGATATTTCTTTCGAAGTTACACGGTTCGCTACTTTGGTAAATGTTACTTCTAGTTGGATCAATTAAACGCATCAGTCTATCAAGGACCAAGCAGCGAAATAATGCGTAAACTGCAGTTGCGAAAGCTGCATTTACTGTGCGATAAAATGCTAATTTCGTGCTAATGTAGATACGATCTTCGAGTACTCTTTAAAATTCGCTACGAATTTCCCGAGCAGCCCAATAAAATTATACATGCCAGCAATTTATAATATTTCGAACTTTTGATTTAATCTCGGATCGATCATCGTTGTTTCATACGCGCGTAAAAGAAGAATCGCGTATCGGCAGGTAGAGATTTTAATTTAAAGGAAGGAACGGTCGGTCGTGGTGTTTCTCGAAGCTTTAAAAAATCTCACGAAGGAATTTCACGATGCATTCAACGATTTAGCTGAAATTCTGCAGACAGATGGTACGTGGTATGCATAATGCATGTTCCGAGCGTAGGAAATGTTGTAGGAAGTTTGCTGTCGCAATTAGAATTCCAATCTGATATTCTAATAATCTAATAGTTTCACTCAGTTATCTCGAGTTAATAGAAACTTTCTTTTTATCTGTATTTCCGTTCAAAGTCAATTTCGATGTCAATCGTCCGAAAATATTTCAATTTGGATTCAAGTTGATCTATTGTCTCTTTAAATTTAAGAAACGCGAAGGAAATCTACGTAAAACCGATGCTTACGAAAACGAAACCTCGAACGAAGAAGTTGCATTCTACATTATCGACTTTTTCATTCATCACCATCAAGATTTATCCTTGTGCGACTGCACCGTTAATTACAAAACACATTGTATATCGTGCGAAAGAATAGTAAAGTAAAAGAAGAAAAAAGAACTCAACCGCTATTTATACTTCCAAGCGACCGAAATTGAGAGTGAAGTCTATTCCATCTTCTTAAATGCTTCTTATCGTTTTACCTGATATTAAAACTCTGGTAAACTACAGTTGATAAAGTGAATTTCTTATACCATTAAGCTTCTTCCACGAAGTCGAACAACTTTCACGCGAAGAACTCTCTTCAATTTTTAATAATCAAAGAGCTAAGAAACTAGGAATATTTGGTCATCGAACATCGAACAGGATAAAAGCGTGGGAATATTTTCGTCGATCAACTGCACGCGATATTTAAATCAAATACATCGCGCACGCTGTACCAGTTACGCGTGAAATATCAGCCGAATCGATGGTCCAAATCCTCCCTTTGACCACGAATCGACATTCGCGCGTTCGCAAATGAGCATTTTCCAGGTCTGAAATTTCCAGGGCCAACGGAGCTGAAAGGTAGCGGAATAAAAGCCCCGGAAACCAACGTTGCTGCAGCGACTGTCGCCGTTTGGCAAAGCTTTCTCAGTCGTAAATTTGACTGTCGCGTTCCTTGCCAAAAAAGGGGTTTGTCTAAAAATTGACGCGTGTGCGGACAACGGTGGATGAAAATTTGCGAGTTTATTACGAATTGTTTAGTTCCGTGAGACTTTTTAACCTTGAACCGGAAGTTGTTGCTGTCCATCCGAGCGAATGGCGACAGGCGAGACATTTTTTTTTTCTTGAAAAATTGAGTCGTTTCGTGAAAGCACGAGAATGGATGGAACGTGGAAATGGAGAGACCAGCCTTTCCGCGGTTTGAATAGAATCGACGAGGTTTCTCGAAGACGAAACGACGTCCAGAAATGATTTGAGAAGATGAGAACATTCGTTTAAAAACTTTTTGCGACTGTTTCAGAATCGCTTCGACGACGTTCGATATTAAATTAAGAAGATGCTGGGTCCTCTTACGTAATAATCGAGAAGCTCTTTTGTTTAAAAAAAAAGAATCTATACATAAATACACTGTATGTAGGCGTCAAATGTATTTTCTAGTCAAATGGTGGTTCATATTTTTTGAAATTGTTATATTTTTGTATATATCGTGACATTTTTATTTATCTCGTAAATATAAAAAGAATAACATTCCTGAAGAGTTATTGCAATTATCTATTGAAACGTAATGGATATTGCAAAACGAGAATGGAAGTTTCCTTACAGTTTACTCCACTGAATTTCATTATTCTTCAATTTCTTCTATTTTCCTACTTGGATTTTTCCCAGTTACAAATTGTAGATTATAAATTGCTTCTTGTCAATTTTACGATATTAACATCGAGCTAGACAGGGTAATCGACTGGCTTGCAATTTTGCAAAATACGAGTAAATTTCGGATATTAGAATTTACTTGAATCAGGCGAGAGGACCGTGGCAAAAGTCACGAAACATCTAAAGTCAACTTCTACCATTTTTAGCTGAAAGATATTTATGTTATTCCTTGGAAATACGACATGAAATTGATGGGATTTTTTTCGAAATTTTCTTCTTTTAGGATTATGTTGACTCAACATATGTAAGATGTCTGATGTTCGTGCTGTACAATCACGAAACTCGATTACCTCAGCTTCACGATTCGGTGCGCTTATTTTTCTGGAAATTGTCTTTTATCTGTGTGCGTAGATGGCGAACGAATGACACGTTCTATCGAGCGAAATGCCGTTTCATTTGTCCAGCAATTTTAATGCAAATCGCATCGTTCTAAGCGCGATTTAACACTATTAGACCGGCACTGTCGTTAACTTTTTCGATTATCCGATTGACTTTACCACTTCAATGGCATGGAAATGTTTTATTGCTTGGAATGCAATCAACTCGAATGCACGATCAATCGACTCATACGTGGAATTAAAAGGATAGGGCAAGAAAGAGAAATAACGTTCGTTACATAGAATCTCTTGGAAAATGTCGGGATTTGGACAGCAATTTTGAGAAATTTCCCTTGAAATTGGACAACGACTTTATGCAATGAAATTATTCAACCTACTTTTAAGATATTTTGCAGATATTCAGCGAGGGAATAGCAAAGATATCGTTGAGCCATAAATTTAATCGGCAATGTTTCTTAAAGGTTTAAACAATGTCGAAAGAACGTTTCAGATATTCTCTATTTTCTATAAATACCCTAACACTTACGAACAGAAACGTATGTGAAGTCATGGATCTAATTTAAACTTGAAATAGTGGCAGACATATAATTAAATATACGTGATTTTTTTTTCTTTTTTTTTTAGTCCCAGTCTTTAAATGAAACGGTAGTCCTTAAAAGTTGAAATAATTCCTTGATAACTCCTTAGATATTTCTCATTTTCCATAAGTACCCTAATCTCTATGAAGAAGAGCGTACGTCAATCGTACGTGTGTTACGTTTGATGAAAGAGCAACTGGCTTGAGAAATTAATATACGAGAGACACATTTTTGTACAGTAAATTCGATTATAAGGTATCAGATGTATTGTACAAACTTGATCGATTCTATATAATAAAATAGAATAATTAGAAAATTAACAGGTGAATAGCGTTTTACAGAATAGGTTTGATTACGAGATGTCGAATTTATCGTACGAATTCCCATCGTATTTAACGAAATAACGCTGCAAATATTCCTCGTGTTTCATAAATATCCTAGTAACTCACGAACAACGGTGCATGTCAATTATCCCCAAATCACATAGCAACCGATTTCGTAACAATCTCATTACGATCCAGTTTCAAAACCTGTTCTCGCAAACAAAGTCGAATTAATTTCGACGTCCGTTCTGTCGAATCAATTACCCAAAAAGCCTTGAATTTCCAATAAAGCATAGAAATCTGTGCTTAAAATTTGCCTGTAACAACGCCATCAACGGAAGGAATTCGGTTAATTATCCAGTCGATCAAACGGAATTACCCGAGCTTTCCTCCGATTTCTTCTTCTTTCGAGCGATTACTCCACACGCTCCATAAATCATGGTCGAGTTTCGACTCGATAAATTCGAGGATTCGGTAGAAGCAATCCGATGTTTATTCCGCGACGAACGAGCGCACAGACAGACCGAACGAAAAGTCGCAGCAGCAAGATACGATAACTTACATATCTTGGATTTCATACGTAGCGCAATATCGAAATTCGAAGTAAGCTGTTTAATTAACCTTACACGAGCTGAACGTTATATTCTTACTTGGTTTTCAATTTCCATATCAAATCTACGACAAGCTTCTAATTTTCTTGGAAAATTCGCGGTTCGGTAGAATTTTGAGCGATCATGGAAATGTATTTCCTCCTTTTTTTTTCCTCTTCGAGAATACCATATCCGTAAGTATGAAATATTGCTTAGTTACGATTGAAAGTAAATTACTGGTAGAACAACGTGGACTTATCGTCTACGTATTTTCGAAAATACTTCTTTCTAGCCATTGAGTGGCATGAAGATTCACAGGTGCACATTGATCGACTTGTTATATTCTTTTCTTGTGTCTGTTAAATGGGATGAGACTAGTCGAAGGATACAGGAAAAGTAAAAAAAGAAAGGAAAGGGACGAATAGGGAGGGGAAAGATGAAAAAAGTCGAGGGATAAGAGAGTCGTCGTTCGATTTCTCGTTCATGGTGAAACGTCAGCTTGCTCGAGCCGAAAGCAAGGTATTAGTCACCAGATCTCGGCGTTATACGGTGATATAGTACGCCCTCGGTTTACCTCTCGACGTGGTCGGGCTGAAAAAGACGCCAGGTGTCGATGGTGAGAAGGACCAAGAGGCCCACGAGGGCGGCGGCAGCGTCCGTCAGGAAGCGTAGTAGCCCTCGTGTCGTTTCCGGCATTTCTCACGGGCGATGTAGCACAGAGCAATGGTGATCAGTACGGCGATCGTGATCCCCATCCCGATGCTGATCCACATGATCTCCTCGTTAATACCACTGTAGCCTTTTCCTGAAAGCATGCTGGATTTATCTTGTAATCGACACCTTGCACCAGGGTTTCGTTACTGTGGGATGACGTTCACGCTTTTAAAGCTCTTGATTCATTTATGAGTCACGTATGAGTCTCTCAGAAGCTAAACCGATGGATTCCACAATTTCAGCATATGGATGTGTGTGTACAGAATATATGTTTAATTTTTTCAAAAATTCCTCAAATTACTCAAATTTTCACGAGTTCGTTTATCGCATGAAAATGATATACAGGGTGGTTGGTAACTGGTGGTACAATCGGAAAGGGGGTGATTCTACATGAAAAAAGAAGTCGAAAATATAGAATAAAAATTTTTCGTTTGAGGAATTGTTTTCCAGAAAATCGACTTTGAATTTTCGCTCGGTACGCGTGCTGTACGTTATAATGTATCTCACTGTAGATCGTTGTCTCGATGGAAAAATTAAATAAAAAAAAATTTTTATTCTATATTTTCGACTTCTTTTTTCATGTAGAATCACCCCCTTTCCGATTGTACCACCAGTTACCAACCACCCTGTATATCATTTTCATGCGATAAACGAACTCGTTGATGTAGCGATAAATTTTAAGACAGCGGTTCTTAACCCGTGACCTGTGCATTTTCGAAAGACCATGAAACCCTCGCACACGCAAGTTATTTATTTATTTATTTATTTATTCATTTCGAGTAACGACGTTTGGTTTAGCTATAGTCAATATAAGCGCACATATTTGAACTATATTTTGATAATTATTTAACAAAAATATTACCGCACTAGCGAACATATTTCGACGTATAATAAAAGTATGACATTAATCGCGAGTCAATCGATCAAAAGTTAAACGATGCGGAAGTGGATGTGAATGTAAAGCGTTTTTGGAATGTTTTTTAAACGTGAGCAACGATTTGCAAAAAACTGATGGGCGAGTGGGTTGGTCTGCTTATATATACGATTAATATAACTATTGGGGTCGTAGTTGGTCTTGGGCATGTTTATTACATTGCGAATGTATGGAACAAAGGAGATCCGATTATTATATTATTATTATTGTACATAAAATATTTATATATAAAATATTTAACATTCGTGCTTGATTATTTCTAATGAAACTTTTCTCTCGAAAAAGGTTGTCGATGAGCAGTCGATCAATGTTTCAGATATACACACTTGGCACATAAGGATTTAACTTTTGAACCGAGTCATGGGGGTGTTCGTGACAACGATGCGTTTATTTGATGGAGGTTCGTGGTAAACGAAAGATTAAGAACCGCTGTGTTAAGGTAAGTTTAAAAAATAATGTGTAAATTCTGAGGCAGATTTAAGAAATAACGTGTACTCTATGCGAACGATTTATATGTAGAAGCGAAATCGAACAATTTTATGGTGGTTGATTATTTAGTGCTCGTGCAATTTGAAGTCGGACATTGGATAATTGTTCTATATATTCACGGGGAATTTAAAGGGTTTAAAAGTGTATAAAATCTTTATGGAAGATTTCAAGATACAAGAATGTGTAAAATGTTTGTAGAATATTTAACGAGCTGGAAATCTATAGAATTCGTAAAAATATATAGATACTTATGGTAGAACATTCGGCGTAACGTATAGTAGATGGAACGTGTTCTATTCGTAAAAATATGAATTTATATAAATATTTGTAATCTATTGCTCGTGTGTTCTGCTATTAAACGACTTAATTTCCCACATATGGGTCAGTATAGTCCCCATTCCGATGGTCACTGGCCCATTAAAACCAAAAGTCTTATATTAGGTCGTCCCAAAAGTTTCTTTCGTTTCATAAGTGAAATGATAGGTGCATAACATTTTTCATTTTATATTATTTTATAGATTTATGTATGATTCATTTTGTAGCAACAGAATAAAATGGATCAAACATAATTCAATAAAATAATATAAAACAAAAAATCCTGTGCATCTACTACTTCCTTATGAAAGGAAAGAAACTTTTCGGACAACCTAATATTACTTTGACTTAAAAGGAACACTGCTTGTAAAGTTTTCTACAAATAATCAAGTTATAGAGGGAGTAATTCAATTGAACGCTATAATTGATTGAATGAAATGTGCATAAAAATCAGAAAGAAACACACGAATGTTATAACAATACTTTGACGCCGTTATAAGATTATATTGAAGAAATTAAAGCCGTAATTATACCGTCAAAGAGACATTCTGTCGCATACTAATTGCATAATTACTTTTTGTCTGTATGCATGAGTTGATACAGTGTATGGGTTATTGAGTGCTATGGTGAAGCTTGTTACAACGTACAGAGCCGCATCGATGATATCTAAATCAAAGTTACGAAGGCTGTAACCAGTGTACTCCACATTTAAACTTAGTATTACGTATTCTATGCACAAACGCGTTTGCAAATCCTTTTTGATACTTGTTACTTGCTACTAGACCGTCTACGGTGGCCATCGGGGTTGTGGTTAAAGTTTCGATTGATGTACCGGCCATTCGGGTTGAAGTTGTTGAAATTGTACTTTTCGTCATATTGACTGTACAATATGGAAATTGTGGTCTTAGTGTACTGAACATTCGATTTCGAACTGTTGCAATGGTGTTTCAGTTATCTTTGTTGCACTGTAAAGATATTGTTATCTTATTCTGTATCGAACGTGTATTGGACGTTAGAACGTTCGTATTGGTAGATTTATCCGTTTCTCGAGATGTACGTACGCGTATTTCGTGAATTTCGTTCGTTTGTTATTGAATTATTGCACGTCAAAGAAGTTTTACAAATTTTATAAATGGTACATGAAATAAGTAGATAATAGTTTACAAATAATACATCACAAAGAACGATAATAGTTATTTTTAATTCAAAAAAATGATATACTTTTTTCTTTTAAATTAAATAACATCATTTTTATAAAAATCGAGTTTTACAGATAATAAATAATAACTTTTTATTCGTCTTTTTATTTCCGTCTGTCTTCCGGCTTTGCGTCGACTTCCGGTTACGCATACAAGATGAGTAATAAGTAATAATTGTCTTATTTAAGAAAATTTGATCTCAACCATTAAGATGACATTTCCTTCAGGAATATCACCTTTAAGCTTGCACAGCCTGAAATTTTTAACGATCCAAACTTCGACAGAGCGTTACAGCAGGAATTTTAATTAATAATTAAACGACTTCTACGTTTTACAGAATGCACGCGAAAGATAAAAGCAGAACGCTATAAGAGATCGTTATGCAAAGTTATCTAAATTATTTACGCCGCACGAAAAACTACTTACGTGTGTGCATATATGTATAAAATTTCTACTCTATTATCTACTTATTTTAACTTCGACATGTGCACGTTTATACGATAAAGATCGTCTATCAGAATGTAACGCTTGAATTCTAATCACGTTGCAACTAAACATCATTCTTTCACCGATACAAAGACTTATCTCGTTTTCGATTTGCACGTAAATCGTTGAGTTTCTTTCCATTTTTAATCTGCATGTTATCAAAGTTGGCTCATCTGAAATATCGCATCTTCTTCGAAGTTTGAACTTAAAGTTAATCCATATTTGGATGGAAATTGGACCACGAATTGAGCAAACACATCATTGGCAAATGTCAAGCAATTTGTAATACATTTTATAATACATCTCGTTACATTTAGAAAAATTTTCCGTCGTAAGTGTTCGAATAATTCGGCGAGTCACTGTATATCACGTTCCGAATAAGCCAAGTGTGGTTAAAGCTTCATTCCAAAAATGACACGACACGTGCACCGACCTGTTATTTCTACGAGATCACATACAACATACAATGTAGGTGTAGAAAACAAGCTATGTACTTATTGGAAAGTCCATTTCAGAACTATATTAAAAATATACGCCCTATATTCTCGACGAAACCAATTAAAACGTACAAAACGGAACGATCGTGCGTTGTGGGCGATATATCGTTGAAATACATTTCGAATTGCCGTGTAATTTATTGTTCATCGAAGTCGATATATACTTCGAGACGAGCAAAGAGTTTTTTACATCTCGTTTCGTTATTATCCGTATCATATCATCCGACTGTGGCGCGTACGCAAATATCGAACGATCGTCATTTATCGTTTATTAACGAATGTTAATAAATAACGTGAAAGCGTGCACGCCGGAAACGCAGATACATATCACGCGAGAGTAACGCGTAACGATCCAATATCCCTGCTTACATTACCATTATAATGGGAGCTGTAAATCCCAACTTTGCCAGCGACTCGTCCTCCCACAGGCATTTTTCCGTTCTTTCACTTGTCGGCCAGAAACCTGCAAGAGAAAACGTCAACTCATGTTTTCTAGTTCTTCCGTGCTTTTAGAATTTTTTGACAAAAAATGTAGCAGGACAGCGCGATAAATCGGTTCTTGTGCCAGCTGTTGCGGTTTCTAGGGGAAAAGACAAATGTCCCCAAACGTGATATACATAATTTTATAGCTGGGACCATTGGTAGCTGTGGCTTTTTTATTTATTTCGCTGTTCCGTGGAAAAAGAGCGAAACGGAAATGTCGGATAGAGATTTTTAGTGGGGAATTTTTCAAGAAAATTGTATTCGCAAGCTTTTGCGTATGCGTCCATCGAAATCTAACGATCCCATCGTTTCTTATTTACTGCATTGCTTATGGGCGTTTTATTTACTTTCGTGCGTTGCGTAATAGGCGAAAAAACGAGCCAAACATGTTTATATAATAAAATCTTTCGGTATATTTTCAAACAAGTTCGAATAAATTTGTTTTTTAAAAAATTGCGTCTTTGAGATCGTGTTTATTGAAATTTAATGATAGTTACGTTCTCTTTCAATTTGGTGGGTTGTTTATCGGTATTTTGTACTTCTACCCGCGTGTATTAGGCCGATTATTAATAAAACACGAACAAATCGTATTTTTTTGAAAATGATGTCTGAATCGGAAAAATTGTATTCCACGTTTTTCGCCTATTTTCACAAGAAGAATAACCTCCTTTCGATTGTCTCGTGTTAACGCGTGCGTAATCGGTAACTAGGGAAATTCGCATTTCGTTGCTTGGCGTTGATTAGCGGCACGACTCAGCAAATTTTCAATTTTCTTTCATCGAATAGAAGGTATACGCTGTGTTTCTATTTTTATCATGTAAAAAATATCAAGATATATTTACAATTCCATCAATTTTCTGTGAGAAAGCAAAATTATTATTTATGTTACTGGCCTTAGTTTTAGAAAAAAACACTAGCTTAAAATGTCTCTCCCTTAAAATTTACACTTGTTAAGTTATCAATGCCACTATCAATGCCAAGCAGTGACCTATCAAAGTTTCCAGTATCAGTTTTTTTTGAAAACTAAGCAAGGAATCACTTGGTGCTCGTTCGTACGTTGTGTTCGTATGTTGTTCGGCCACTCCCTGTATAGAGATCTATCTCAAGGACAATTGTTTCACTTTTACCATAAATTTCCTCCAACTTTCGTATCTCCCTTTTTTTTCACGATCACCGTCTATCCTCGAAGCTTCTTCACTTAATGGATTGGCAATCTTAAGTAATGGGCAGCTACAACACGTCGATCGATCGGAGTCAAAACAACGGGCTGAGGCTATCGTTCGTTGCAAACGAGTGAAACAAAAGTCGATAATGGTAAGAAACGACACGTTGCGAGGCCTTTTTTTCCGCATTAAATTCCGTTTTCACTTATATTAATGGACTGTTTCGATGTTACCGACGAAACTGACGGCCTGGGACGAATACATTTAAAGTGCAAGCAACGAGAACGAATACACATATCCGATCGGGCTGACTTCCTGATTAAATGAATTGTTCGATCAAGTTTTCTCGCGTCGCGTTAAAATTCGTTTAATCACGAGGGGATTGTTTATTCGCTCGAATTATTAATTGTTAAATTAAGTGTAAACAAATAATCGGAACGTCGAATGGGCGAACATCTGTGAACGAGTTAATGCGATACGATTTTGAAATTGTTGTTTATTTTATTCTGTCGTTATCGTAGCGCATGCAGTGCCTCACTGTTACACAATTGAAGCATTTGATAAATGATTAAGTAGTGAGTTAGCAGCAAATGGAAGCGGTTAAATAATACAGAAGTTGGTGAAAAATACGTGTCGGACGAAAATTCTGGAAAATTCAGGAACACTGACGTTTATTAAAAACAGACAAATTTTGTTCGGTAATATTTTCATCGATAATATTTTTCTTAAAAAAATATTTAGCAATTGTAAACGTTTGTTTGTCGTTTCTACGCGAATTTCATGTTCATAAATATTCGTGTTTCACGTATAGAAATATTTATAAAAATTGGCATTGATTTTCTATTATACAAATAATGGAATATCAGTTATTTATAATTCTATATGTAGTTGTATTAATTAGTTCTACGAGTTGTATAACATAATAAACGTAGTTCTATCAATACAGTTGTATTCTATAATTAGCTCTATTCAGTATCGCTCTATTTCATAATTATAAATACAGATAGCTATATGATTATCAAGTATACCAGGTGAACAATTTGCCATCAAGTACTTAAAACATTGTTAGTTTAATTTGTTATATATTATATCTTCTATATTAAGTTAAGTTAGTTTAATTTGTTATATATTATATCTTCTATATTAAAACTTTAAAATTAAGAAACGAGGTGGATAATATTAAATTTCCATTCTCGCGTGTGTGTATGCATGTGACCTAAATATTGGAAGTTTGAAGTTTCGGTGGCGAAAGTTCTCAATGATCTTCGTTTTAAACCATCTTTAATCAGGCAGACCATTTCATCATCCAAACGTTATAGTTGTAAAGTTTAAAAATCGCGTTACAAAGTCTTACAACGTATAACATTAAACGGATCAATGCAAAAAAGTTTACCGCCTCTCTCTATCTACTTGAAAATAGTGAACCAGCTACTTAAACGGTTTTTTTCATTGCAAATAAAGTTGTCTTCTTTAACACGGCGCAAATTACTCCATTTAAATTCTTCCGTAACCGCAGAAAACAACGGGTCAATACATTTTCGCGTATATACATACAAACAAAGAGCGACCACTGTACACGTATACAATGTGTCCCAGAGTTTAATAATCAAATTTTATTAATACATTTTATAATACAGATGAGATTCTGTTGTACGATATAGATAGCTATAATCAAGAAAAAAATGTTATACAAACGGCGATTTAATGCTTCGTTAGAAAGTTATATTAAAAACTCCTCTTTTCATTTTTCTTTTGAATATTTTAGATCTTTCTTTTTTGCGTTCCGGCATTATTTACACAATAGACGGAACGCGAAGATTATTTTTAGCATAATTAATGCTAAACAAAAATTCGTTGACAATATTGAAAAAAAAATTAACCAAGTCAGACCATGTTTGGCCAATTTTTAAACTCGATTTTCTCGAAAACGAGGCGTCGAAAATTCGGAAAAATATTCGTTTTACATCTTGAACTCACCGTTCATGAGAGATAAAAGGGCCACTTTAATTCCTTTCTCCGTACACGTAATTCGTCCGTTGATTTTGTCCCAACGTCGGTCTTTCTTCTGCTTTGTAAAATTCACGCGAATTTATTCGGGACAGTTAGCTGTTTAATGCGAGCTATATTTGCCAAATATTCAGACTCGATTCGCTCGATAATCGAAGCATCGGCTGAAAAAATATTTATTCTACATCTTCTATTTATTTTTTCACGTCGAGTCGTCGTTTTGCCGACTATACCGTGATTACCGGCACAGTTTGTATATTTTCACAAAAGATAAGAGCGCCACTTCCTTCTGTGCATCTAATTCCTCCGTTGATCCTGTTCCAACGGTAGTCTTTCTGCTTTGCAAAATCACTCGAATTTACTCGAAACAGCAACGGTGTTTAATTCCAACTATTTGACAGATTTATCCTACGAATTTTCACAGCCGATTCTCTCGAAAAAGAAAAAAGGAAGAAAAATGTATTCTATCATCTTGCTGATTATACCGTGATTACCAGGACACCCTGTACACTTCCACGTACAAGAGACAAGAGTGCCACTTTAACTCTTTTCTCTACGTCTAATCTCTCCGTTGAATCGATTCCAACGACAGTCTTTCCGCTTTGCAAAATTCACGCCATTCTATTCGAGAGACTGAGCTGTTTAATTTGAAGTTTAACTCGCGGCGTTAGCGCGAGCCAATTTTCTGGACAAAGCTGGAGATAGTGGCCGGGCCGGTGTGTATGCTTGGCACGAATCGATTTAACGAAACGCTCCCTTTCATAAGATGCCTTTCCTCCCTCCGAAAGCGTGTTATCGACGAGAACAGAGAAACAGTTGCTCTCATCGCCGATTGCACGAACATACACGGTGATCCTAGTTCCACGCGAATTACTTGGAAATTGTTGACCGTACCAGTCGGTTGATCGAAGAAAAATTGCCATCTAAAGAGAAGGAAGGCCGGATCGGTCGAATAGGCAGAAATTAAGCTTGTGAATTTGTAATTGAGAATCGTAATGTGGGGGGATAAGGCGAAATTAATTGGGGATTTACGGGACACTGTATGAAAAATCGAATAGGAAAAGATCAAGCGCTTTGTATAAATGAGAATTGTGGTATGACAGGACAAAAGACGTGGGATTAGTCGAAGATTCATGGAACATTGTGCCCAACGGGTAGAATAAGGGAAAATTTCTGGACTTCTTACACTTGTACTCTTCGTCTCGCCCGGGATATTAAAAAGATTCGGGAAATTTTTGATTAGGAAAGTTATCGTGAATTTATCGTCTACTTAAAAAGTTCTTGCGTTTTGGTATCGACGTTGTTCTGCTTTTCAATTACGTTATATCAAGTTCCCCTTCTTCTTGATGATGGCGTTAAAGTCAGAGAACAATGTACAAAAGTCAACTTGGATCATATATTTCTTCTCTCTGATCTTCGTATCGTATCCAGTATGTTTTTTATAGTTTATGCATATAACGTTATCCAATAAACTTTTGTAAAATAGCAAAATATGAAAATTAAGAAACAAAAGTATAGAAATATAAAAATTCATCTTCAATCGGATAATCTCCAATTGAAGAAACGAATTATTTCAATAAAAATTCAGCGAATGTTCGAAACGTTGGCTTCAAAGTTTCCAATGTTCTTTTTCGCATTACGGTCAATGTACATTCATTTATGACGTATATGACATGTATGAGGTGCTTCTATTATTTCATCCAACCTCTCTATGTACACTGGAGCTCGTAACTTTGCAAACTTAATGGCTTGCATAGCTTACAAGGCTTCTTCTTGGAAGGCCCCCAATTAGATCTATGCAAGAGTTTCC